GATGTAAAAATATAAAACTTCCTTCTACTTTTTCACTCATGCTTCACAGAATATTCACTGTTAACAGCTTGATGGATATCTTTTCTAATCTTATGACCATACAGTTGCACATGTATACACACATGTATAAAGATCTTTTTTATATAAAAATGGACTTACATTATATATCTTGTTCTGTCTGCTCCTTGATTTTTCAATTAGCCCTTCATCATGGACATTCTTTCCTATACTCTAAATTGTTTTAATATTCGCCTATTGGTGAATATTTAGGGTGTCAAAAATGCTACATGGAGCATCCATGGATATATTCCTCTGTACTTGTTTGAATGGGAATAGCTGGGTCCAAGGCAATATGTTTTAATCTAGTAAAGCACAGCCAATCTGTCCACTCATGAAATTAAGCCTCTAAATCCAAATTATAGAAATAATCCCCTTGGTTCCTTACCTCAAAGTGAAGTCCATTTCCGAAGTTAAAGCAGATCTATAAAATAAAATTATTTGATGTTTAATATAATTTATTACACAGCTGAAAATCATTGTTAATGAATAACTTCCCACCTTGAATATTATAGACATTAAAAAAAAAAGGTATAACCACCACTATCCTTTGTCAAAAGGAAATAAATTTTAATTTTCCTCTTTGCCTTCTCCCAGCGACCAGGGCCAGAGGAGGAATCCTACATTCTCCTTGGTCCACACTGCCTCTTCCAGAAAACAACCAATATTTTAAAAAACTAACAAAATAATCTGCCTTGTGAAATCTTAGCCATTCCTCAAACCTTTTCTCCTCACCCTATGGTTTTATCTTGTGTTGTCCAGGACCCACTTACCTTTCCTCAAGGATGTTGGTATGCGATGTGCTCTCCTTTCCTGCCAAGCTAATTCTCACCATCCCTATGGGTCACATGTGCACGACCACCCATGTTCTGATTTCTCGGTTCCTCAACATCCTCAGTTTTATCCTTTACTATCACACCTTGGACTTCATCATTACATAGAGCACTGTTCTAAACACAGTCACGTGTATTTTAAAATCTGCCCAATAAACTCCTATCCTGCTTTTAAATTTTGCTGCACTTTCTTTATAGTCCACGAATCTCCTATTCATTACTGTCTCAGTAGTTGGCACAAGAAATTTTGTCACTCTTGATTGCTAATGTCTTGAAGGCAGAGATTCATATTTTATTTCATTAATGCATTTATTTTAATATTTAAAAGATTTTAAACTGCACCATGTACAAAAGCAGGGTGAACAGTATAATGAGCACCACACAGTTAACATCCAGTTTCAACAATAATCTAGCACACATTTCTTCTAAAATAAATTTTTATTTAGGAATAATTTGATGTACACAGCTGTTGCAAGGATAGTACCAAGAATTCCCTTACCCATTTTCTTCTTATGTTAACATCTTAAATAACTATGGTACATTTTGCTGAAATTAAGAAATTAATATTGGTACATTTATTTAATGCACCATTAACTAAATTCCAGACTTTATTCAGATTTTACCGTTTTTCCCCACTAATGTTTCAATCTAGGACCCCACATTGCATTGAGTTATCATATTTTCTTAGTATCCTCTAGTCTGTGACAATTTCTCAGTCCTTCCTCATTTTTCATGACCTTGACACTTTGGAAGACTATTGGCTGAGTGCCCTGCACGCTGCCCTCCAATTTGAGTTTAGCTGTTGTTTTTCTCATGATCAGACCAAGGCTATGTATTTTTGGAAGGAATATGGCAGAGGTGAAGTGCTCTTTTGTCACATCCTATCAGGGAGTGTATGACATCCATGTGACATCACTGGCTAAGGTAGTGTTTGCAAAATTTCCCCACTATAAAGTTACCATTTTCCCCTTTCTCCATTCTATTTTTTAGAAGTAAGTCACTAAGTCTAGCCCATCCTTGGGGCAGAGGGGAGAGGGAGGAGATTCTGCCAGACAAGTTGCTTCAGTCTGAGTTTCCTTATCTGTAACGTGAGAATGAATGATACATACTGTGGCAGACATTTTCAATGGTATAGCTAATTGCCACTTCTCTCATCTTCAGTGTTCACAGACCCTATTCTGTACAATCAGGTAGACCCTGCCCAGCTCACAGAGCTGAATAATGATTGGCGTATGACAAAGCATGGCATACAGTCTCATTCACTTCGACAGTGGCCGGTTTAGGCATAAATGTGTAAGAGAATTTTGGCCAATGAGGTATCAGGAGATCCTGGAAAAGATTCTCCTCACTGATTAGAAGAGAAGCACATACACACCCCCCACCCCTGCTTTTTAAGTGACTCTGGAGATAGGTGAACAGGGATGTGACATTTGGACTGATGATAGCCATCTTATGACCACTGGGGGTGGGGGTGGGGCTAACAAAATGGTAGAGAAGCCAAAATGAAACCTTAACATCTTTAAGTGAAAGAACTGGTCAAATCTGGAGCCACTCGACATCTTTTCTTATGAAATATTATTGTTTTTCCTTAACCTATTTTTAGTTGGGTTTTGTTACTTGCATCTGAAAGCAACCTACCTGATACATCAATTTTGCAGGGCTGTTGTACAAATTAAATACATGAAATGCAACCACTACAGTGACTGGCACTCAATAGATAGAATTTAAGATGGCGTTTCCTCAGTTCTGTTTTGCATGTTCCTCAACTTAAAATTTCTGCAGTTTGGGCCAGGCACGGTGGCTCATGCCTGTAATCCTAGCACTCTCGGAGGCCGAGGTGGGCGGATTGTCTGAGCTCAGGAGTTTGAAACCAGCCTGAGCAAGAGTGAGACCCCGTCTCTACTAAAAATAGAAAGAAATTAATCAGACAACTAAAAA